GGAAATAATGTTAAGATGCTTGGCTATCTTTTGAATCTTGGTTTCCCTTGCATACCATTATAAAATAGACACTTGAGGGGGTGAGAAAAGAATAGCTAGAAATATCATCATAGAAAGCTTCTAAGTTCATTTTCTGCCTATAACTGATTAGAATACCTAAAATGGGGCTACAATGTGCCCAGTGAAGAAGGCTTCCTGTGGAGCTTCTGCATTACATACGACCATAGGTGGATTCCTGAACCCCATCCAGAATCTTCTCAGGTGGGAAATTTCCACTGGAAAGGACAAGCAGATCAGCCTGGAACAGCTAGAAGAACAGAAGATACTTCTTGGAAGACTGACAGGAAAAATACAAAACAATAATGGCAGTCCGACTGACTACTATAAGAACATGCAAGTTGCTCGCCCAGGAGACATCAAGGCAAGCAGTTAGGTCCCCTCAGGGCAAACCCCCTTCCAAGACTAAGACTCAATGGGAATACATGAGCAGACTAGTGCTCTGACTGGTGATCAAGTTGGTCACTGATAAGGGGTAGTGATAGAAAAACAGCAATGAAGCTGCAAGCTAAGCCCTATGACAGTCAATAGACTCCTGTGAACCTGGGTGGAGACCTGGTTGGCCAGCAGTGTGGCAAGACCTGGGGACTCCTGGTCTTGCTGAAGACAAATCAAAATCAGTTGAAGCAGTATATCAACAGGGAATTGCTAGATATACAATCCAGATTCAGAAGAGGGAATGGAATGAGGAGTATCATTACTAATGTCAAATGGATCTTGGCTGAAAGCAGAGAATACCAGAAAGATATTAACCTGTATTTCACTGACTACGCAAAGGCATTTGACTGTGTGCATTATAACAAATGATGGGCAATATTACATAAAATGAGAACTTCAGAACATTTGTGCATAGACAAACAGGTAGTCATTTGAACAGAAAAGGGGGACTACACAGTTAAAATCAGGAAAAGGGTGTGCCAAGGTTGTAGCCTTTCACCACATTTATTCAATCTGCATGCTGAGCAAATAATCCAAGAAGCCGGATTATAAAATGAAGAACTCATCGTTAGGATTACATGAAGGCTCACTAACAGTCTGTGATATGCAGATGACACAACCTTGCTTGCTGAAAGGGAAGATTTAAAGCATTTACTGATGAAGATCAAAGACTACATCCTTCAATATGGATTACGACTCAATATAAGAAAACAAAAATCCTCACAACAGGACCAATAAGCAACAACATAATAAACAGAGAAAAGATTGAAGTTGTCAAGGATTTAATTTTACTTGTATACACAATCAACGCCCAAGCAAACAGCGGTCAAGAAAGTAAACAACATGGTGCCTTGGACAAATCTGCAACAGATCTCATTAAAGTGTTAAAAAGCTAAATTGTCACTTTGAGGATTAAGGTGTGCCTGACCCAAGCCATGGTATTTTCAGTCACCTCATATGCACAGGAAAGCTGGACAATGAATCGAAGAATAGTTTATACTTTCGAATTACAGTGTTGGCAAATATTGAATAAATGATAGACTGCCAGAGGAATAAACATATCTGAACTTAGAAGTACAGCCAGAATGCTCCTTAAAAGTAAGGATAACAAGACTATGTCTCACATATTTTGGACATGGAGCTCTGGTAGTGTAGTGGTTACGAATCGGGCTGCAAACCTCACAGTCAGCAATTCAAAACTACCAGCTGTTCGTGGGAGAAAGATGAGGCTTTCTGCTCCCGTAAAGATTTACAGCCTCAGAAACCCTGTACAGGGTCGCTACGACTCCACAGCACATAACAACAACAATCAGAGAAGGGACCAGTACCAGGAGAAGGGCATAATGCTTGGTAACATACAGGGACAGAGAAAAAGAGAAAGATCCTTGATGAGATGGAACGACACAAAGGCTGCGACTGCGACAATGGTCTCAAACATAGCAATGACTGTGAGGGTGACTCAAAGCCAGGCAGTGTTTCATTCTGTTATACACAGGGTCACTATGAGTGGAAACCAACTTGACTATCCTGGTGTGGCACTGTGGGCTAATGTGCCAGACTGCAAAGCTGTTTGAACTGCAAGGTCAGCAGTTCAAGCTCACCAGCTGCTCCTCGGAAACCCTATACAGAGTCGCTATGGGTCAGAATGGACTCAATGGCACTTAACAACAACTACAACAATTATATAGGTTTTTTTCCTGGATAACTCCTTCTTATCATTTATATCTCACCTTAAGTGTAGTATCTCCTTACAGAATAGCATGTCTTACTTATCCTATTTAAAATATGGTTTTCTTTCTTTCTACAGCTACATACAAAGGATTGTGGTGGCTCCATGCGATAAACACTGCTAACCACAAGGTCCGTGGTTCGAACCTGCCAGCTGCTCTACGGCAGAGATGAAGCTTTCTGCTCCTGTAAAGATGTAAAGCTTTGAAAACCCAATACAGGGATCGCTATGAGTTGGAACCAGTCGGAACCAACTCGATGGAACTTAACAATAACTACATACAATGATGAAGCATGTAAAAGAACCACACAGATAACTTTCACTAACCAACAAATATCACCCACCCTCATTTCCAGGGATAATCCACAGATCCAGAAACTTGCACAAGTAGAGTTACTGCCACAATTGATAATCAACTTTTTGAAACTTCTTCACATATATATATCAAAATATATGAGTTTATATGTAATGTTTCTAACATCCCAAAACAAAGGTCAGATTTATAAAGATATTGATAATAAAATAAAGGCAATAATATTCAAAAGGAGTGTAGGTACTCGACTTCCCTCAGTACCAACTAGCATTGGAACAGAAAACTGTCAAAAGCCAGGAACTACTGTCTATTCATTCATTCAATAATTACTAAATGAATGGCCTATCCTAAGCTTCCATTACATTCAAATATGATGAAGTAGAGGAATTGTTTCAAATAGTAGCATAATGAAAACCACAAAGAATCTGAAGTCAGATGACTTAGGTTTGATCATTGTCCAGCTTAAGACTTAAATAAATTAGCATTTATGCCTAGTTTTAATGTTAGATAAAACAGGGATAGTGTGATAATGGACAAATGAAATAACACTTATTGAAATGCAAAGCGCTGTTCAAATGCTAGCCTGTTGTTGTTATACGTCGTTGAGTCGGTTCAGACTCATAGCAACCTTGTATAGGGTTTTCGAGGAACAGCTGGTGGATTTGAACCGCCGGCCTTGTGGTTAGCAATCTAGTGCTGATCCTACAGACCCACACCATGACTGCTTGGGTAAACGAAACACAATCGCTGCAAAGAGAAAAAGCTATCATGCTAGTATACTTCTAAGAAATGAGTGGCTCTCGCTGGAGCCTGGATAATTTCTTCATGACAGGGCCATTCCACTAACCAACTACCCCACTCCCACCATCCGTCCTATTCGGCTCTCTCCCCTCAATCCTGTTTAGGTAAAGTTGCCTAAAGCGTCTTCCTTTTCCTTTTCTCCAACCCCATCAGATGCCATTAACTACTCACCGCACCGGCCGCATTTTGGTCCCCTTCTAGGCTGAAAGTTCGCAGCTTTCAAGTTCTCCCAGGCTGAAATGGCAGTTTCATTTCCCGCCCGAAAACCAAACCTCAAAGCTCTCCGCCCATCGACTTTAGTCCTCCAATCATTCCTAGCCAGCCTTACATTAGCGCATGCGTTCTGCGAAGAGCTCGTTTGTTCACGCCCTTGTTCAGCAAACGGTCAAAAAGAGCGGAGTCTATGCTTTCCTTTGCAGTTTCATCACGACAGCGGCTTTTTGCGCTGTCTTTAGAACATCTAATAATTGTTGAAGAACCCCTTCCTACATTTTTCAAATGATAAAATTGAACCATGATGGAGCAAAGGACACTGGGACTGATGGGTTTTCCACAAGGTGCCAAAAAAGTGAAAAAGGTGTAAACGAATCTGCCGTGACGGATCTACTGGTTGCAAAAAGAGGTCTTTAGGTCAGCTGATGAGCCTGGTGGTGCCGATCGCTGACAGCTCGGAGTGAGTGGACAGTTCAGGACTTTGGAGCTTGGCGAGGTGAGCCCAGAACCAAGAACGAATAACTTCTTTAGACTGCAACTCCCTAATAAATGGTCTGATCCCTTCCCTAGACTGGAGTATCTTGGCTAAGGAAGCCTGCCTTCCCTTTACCCGAGTAATTTGAGCCTCAGAGCCTTCGTTCGATTGACTGTATGAGATCGGCCCAGTCCACCCACTCCTTTTTTTGTACCTGAAGCAATCCACGAAGGTGTTTAGAACAATCCTGCTAAAAATATCCAGGTCTGGTGGGGAAGCGGGGGGGGGCTAAAATACCAATTTATTAAACCAGAGAAAAGCTAAACGTTGTAGCGATTGAAACCAGAGCTAGTGATTGTTTTATTAAACGTATTTAATCCGAATAAGATTAGACCATAAATCCATATTTGTGACTTTCAAGTCCCTGCTGCAATTTTTCTTTACTACCTCTGCCTTCATCACATATATTCAATTTGTTGTTGTTATTGTTGTGTGCCGTCGAGTCGGTTCCACCTCAGCGACCCTGTATAGGGTTTTCAAGGAGCAACTGGTGGGCTTAAACCACCAACATTTTGGTTAGCAGTACAGTGCTTATCCTACAGCGCAATTAGTGGACTGATTTTTCTATTGATATGTACCTAGAGAGCATATGTTATTACTGTTGGTTGTTGATATGTACCCTGGAGTCGGTTCCGACTCATAGTGACCCTGCACAGGGTTTCCAAGGCTGTAAATCTTTACGGGAGCAGAACGCCTCATCTTTCTCCTGCGGAACCACTGGTAGTTTCAAGCTGCTGACCTTGAGGTTGGCAGCCCAACTCGTAACCACTACACTACCAGAGCACCTAACATTGATCATCATGTTTGTCAGATGCCTCGCATCTGTTATTTGACTAATCCTTATGACAGCTCTGTGAGTTAAATTCCCAATGACAATTGCTCAGGTGGCAAGACAGTGGCAGATTTCGAATTTGAACTACTGTATTTAGAATTGCAGTCACGACCTCCCATTAGCCAACAAATAACTTGCCTCAAGCCTGTGTGCCCCATGTCAGGGACTGTGCTTCAACTGTTGGTAAGACACAGTCCTTGTCCTCAGGCTACTCAGTCTGGTGAGGACGTGATACAGATGAAGCTGGTCACCTGAGGACGAAGTGTGCCGTGCCAGTAGGTTTGGGGGAAGAGGCAGTGGGAAAAGACTAACATCTGTTCCATTAACATCAAGAAACCAATTAGGATTTTTCATTCACGGGGGCTTCAAAAAGTTGGTGGAAAACTTCTATTATCTTTTTTTTTAAAAGCTTTTTACTGTGGACTGAGTGAAAGTTTACTGGGCAGATCATCAGTTTTACATTTAACAAACCATACACCTTGTTTCATTACAATGATTATAATCCCTTCCATGTACCATCAGTTAATAGTATTTCTCTCTAGTCACTTCAGCTCTTTAAAAAAAACAAAACAACAACAATAAAAAACCCACTCAGGCATATATAATAATTTACACCACCAAAGGGCACATTCTGCAAGTCTGCCTCCTGGGCACCAGCTCTTTGTCCCTCTCTTCCCTTGAATCTAAAGTCGTCCTTCGCTCCCCCTCTCCATGACTACATCTCTGCCTCCCTCTCTGGTGTAGTTGCTACTCTGGATAATGTCCCACATTCTCCTTGTGTGCTTCACCCTTGATGGTACTGGGGTCCTCCGTTTCTAGACTGTAAGATTAACCACATCCCAATTTTTGTTACAAAACTTCTACTTTTCCAATTGTGACAGTCGCAATTAGTCATGATAACAATTACTCACTATTGAATCATGAAAATCTTATCCCCATCTCTTTTCACCAGACCCGTCTAGACAAGATGAAAACTATTCAGTGGGGATTCTAACCTCCACCCCCTACCTCTGCACCTCCCCACACACATTCTGAAACTAAACTCACTCTTGAAAACTTATAATTTACCAACTTTGTGCCTTTATAGTGCCCCCACCCACACATTTTAGGTAGCCAATATCTAAGTTGCCCATCCCTATCAACCCTGTGTACGGAGAGGATAGACTTGACCCTTGATGTAAAGACTCCTTCCCTCTCAGTTGGTATTTTGAGCTGCTACATCTCTGGTAGCAGCATAGTGGTTACGAATCGGGCTGCTAACCTCAAGGTCGGCAGTTCAAAACTACCAGCTATTCCGTGGGAGAAAGATGAGGCTTTCTGCTCCCATAAAGATTTACAGCCTTGGAAACCCTGTGCAGGGTCACTATGAGTTGGAACCAACTCCACGGTACTTAACAACAACAACATCTATAAGTACAGGTCAAGTTTATCAAATTGTAGCAATTTGCACTTTATGCATCTTTGCTGAAGACTCCTTACTTGTACCTCTTTCCATATTCCTTCACTGACTTCAATTGCAAAGTACTTTTTGGGCATCTTTTTATTTTTCTTCGTTAGGTTTTAAAACAGTGCTTAGTGTTTTCTTAAAGAAAATATACTTTTTTCCCCTTAAAACATGAAAATGCAGGGATAGATATCTGGGAAAAGCTAGAAGAGTTGACTGAGAGTCACACAAGTAAAATCTTTCTTAGAAATGGTACAGCAAGTATGAAGCACCATGGCTTGTTTGTTTTTAACGGATTTATGTAACCCACAACTTTTTGTTCTATAGAATTCCTGTCAAAGAAGATGAAGAAAAATAGAGAAAGATTCTGCAACCGAGAGAGGGAATTTGTATATGAATTCAAAGTAGGAAGTCAATGCTTAGAACTGAAGGTCCCACTCCAATTTCCTGTTGAAGAAGATGCCAGTCATTTGCATGGACGGCTAATGCTGCTGCACAATTTACCTTGCTTCATAGAAAGTGGTGAGGACTGATATTTCAAGGAATACCACTTTATTACTTCCCTGTATTCTCTGCCACTAGAACTTTTAGATTAGAAGGCACAAACCTTAGAAATACCATAAACTGTGAAGTGTGTGTTTAACTGCTTGTCTTCCAAGAATATGAAAGTTTCCCTAGGCATGTTTTTTACTGATTTTTTTTTTTTTTTTCTTCTAGTGGTCCTTGTAGCCTTTCTAGTTTACAAAGAGGTTGACTATAAAATTGAAATTATATAATGAAAATTTAGTTACCGCGTCTTGATTAGAACTCTTAAGCTCCGAATTTAAGTGGGTGGGTTCATAAGCCATTTCAGGTATTGCTAATTATGATATTGCAGAATTATAGTGCTAACTTGGCCACTTCTGTGAATGATCTGGTCATCACTTCATGAGATGTCCTAGAAGAGTAGTTAGTGTTTAATAAGCTTTTATTACGTAAATGAACTCCATAAAGTCATCTGTATTGAGCCTTTTTTTTTTTTAAAGGTCTATGTTCTATCTCGTAGATGTGGAGAAAATAATTTGAGAATATAGGCTACAGTTACAAGGGAACCTAGACATCTTCTAGCACAGTCTCATTGTACAGAAAGGAAACTGGGACACAGAGAGGTTAAATTCTTTGTCTAAGGCAGGAGTCTTAAACTGTGACCCCTGACCCGCAGTAGCAGAATAACCTGTGAACTTGCCAGGAATGCAAATTCTTGAACCCTCACCCTTTACTGCTTAATCAGATACTCTGCGGGTAACACCAAGCTATCTGCTTTATTATTAATGTATATGTAAATAACGTTTTTTCTGAAAACAAATCCAAAATGGTTGCAGCAGTACATCGGCAGGGAGCTGCCAGAAATTCAGGCCAGATTCAGAAGCGACTTAGAATGAGGGATATCATTTGTTGATATTAGATGGATCTTGGCTGAAAGCAGAGAATACCAGAGAGATGTTTACCTGTACTTCATTAGCTATGCAAAGGCATTGGACAGTATAGACCATAACAAATTATGTGCAACATTGTGAAGAAGGAGAATTCAAGACCACATAGGTGTGCTCATGTGGGAACTGGACAGACCCAGAGGCAACTGTTCAAACAGAAAAAGGTTCAAACAGTTCAAACTGTGTGGTTTAGTATCAGGAACGGTGAGCATCAGTGTTTTTATCTTTTGCCATACGTATTCAGTGTGTATGCTGAGAAAGTGGAGTATCTGAAGAAGAACATAGCATCAGGACTGGAGGAAAGCTCATTAAAAACCTGTGATGTGCAGATTTTGGTTCCTGAAAGTGAAGAGAACTTCAAGCACTTACTGATGGAGATCATAGATGATTGCCTTCAGTATGGATTACACCTTAACATAAAGAAAACAAACATCTTCACAGATGGACCAATAAGCAGCATGAAATGAAAAAGACATTGAAGTTGTTAAAGATTTCATTTTACTTGTATGCACAATCAGCACTCATAGCAGTCACAACAGCAGTCAGGAAGTCTAATGATGTATTTTAGTGGGCAGAATGCAACAAAAGATCTAGCTCTTTAAAGTGTTAAAAGCAAAGTTGTCACTTGAGGACTAAGGCACACCCAACCCAAACTCTGGTATTTCAGTTGCCTCTTAAGCATGCGAAAGCTACTAGAGAAGTGATGCCTTTGATTTATGGTGTTGGAGCAGAATAATAAAATCATGGACTACCAGAAGAATGAACACATCTGTCTTGGAAGATGTACAGCCAGAATGCCCCGTAGAAGTAAGAACAAATGTAAGGGTGGCGCAGGATCAGGCAGTGTTTTGGTGTGTTTCACATAGTGTTACTGTGAGTCAGAACCGACATAGTAACACCTAACAACAACAGCACCTGTTTTATAAAGATTAAGAACTACTGCCCTTTTGATTATGACGATGTAAATAGTGTCAGTAAAATAGGAATCGTGACTCATTTGAAGTATGTCATTAGTATACTAATCTTTCAATTTCTCTTCTAAATTCAAAGCATTTGCAGTATACCCTTAAAAGTTATACAGGAAACTTTTCCACTTAAATGTGGTGGTGGCGGTTATGTGCTGTGGAGTCAGTTCTGACTCATAGCAACCTTGTACAGGGTTTCTGAGCAGAAAGCCTCATCTTTCTCCTGAGGAACTGCTGGTAGTTTCAAACTGTTGACCATGAGATTAGCAGCCTGACTCGTAACCACCCTACTACCAGAGCTCCTTCAACATTAAAGTAGTGGTGGTGGTGGTGATTTGAAGGTTGCTTAAGTGTAGTAATCTTCAAAAATCTGTCAAGTTTTTGTTTTTATTATGCTAAAGTCCTGGTGTGGTGCTGTGGGTTAATGCACCAGACTGCAAAGCCGTTTGAACTGCAAGGTTGGTGGTTCAAGCCCACCAGCTGCTCCTTGGAAACCCTATAC